ACAAAAAAGGTTGAAAAACACTGGAAAGGTTAGCGTTAGGTTTAGCGTTAGGTTAAGGGTTAGCGTTAGGTTTAGCGTTAGGTTAAGGGTTAGGTTTAGGGTTAGCCTCTAGGCTTAGGTTAAGGGTTAGGTTTAGGTTTGGGGGGGCTAGGGTAAGGTTTTCGCTTTATTTTTACATTTATCGATCACAGTGCGATATTTTCGTCGTGCTGTGATGACGTCACGTACGCGCTTTCGTCGAGCGCGCTTTTGTCTACCGCGGTTTTGTGGTGGAACCCTTTTTTAAGCCTAGAGGCTTGAGAAGGCAAACTAATAAGCAAACCCAGTGAGTTTTAATCGAAGAACAGATCTATGGGCCTAGTCTGCTGCCAAAATCATCTTCCAATCATAGAAATATTTATTCATAAAAGGAGCCACACAAGCTCATTTATCTTCTGAGCAGTCTGCGAGATTATAACAAATCCCTGTCCTAACAGAAAAAGGCAGAACACTTTGAAGTCTTCATATGATAGCATACATTACAATAACAAAAAAATTACAGCTTGCAAATTCTTGATCAGCATTCGATTGTATATTTAAATTGGATAACTGATCTTTATTGGCTTTCCCAACTAGGTATTACATCCAGTAAATCTTATTAGTTTCCACAAAGTGTTTGTTTCCACTGCAAATAGCATGGAGAAGATATCTGATCAGAAGTAGAAACAAAGGCCAAAGATCTTTTCAAATTGTTGTTGACTAAAGTAAAAAGAATCCCATAAGGAGAAAACAATGGGATATTCATCAGGCTTAATCTGATTTTAAAATAACCGAATCGATTATCTCCACAGATTAGGTTTCAAAAATCCAAGAAAACATTTTTGCCACCCTCTCTGACATCAAAATTCTATTATAGTACAGAACTGAAGTAACACATACGTTGCATCCAATTTATGCATGCAGGTCACTGAAGCCAATGCTCTGTTTAAATCCAATGGATGAAGGAAAAGCATATTTTGCGAACTTTGGGAACGAGTCCAAGTGAGGCCTTTGCGATAGGATAATCCTAGAAAGATATTTATTTATTAGATTTTTATTCCACCTTTATTACTTTTAAAGATAATTCAAAGCTGTGAATACACCAATACTCCTTCCTCTTCCTATTTTCCCCACAACAACAACCCTGTGAGATGGATTGGTCTAAGGGAGAACGAATGGTCCAAAATCACCGTAGTCATGCCTTTGGTTTTCGTGTCTAAGGCATGACTAGAACTCACAGTCTCTTGATTTCTAGGTTAGCCTCATAACCACTACATCACACTAACACTTTTATCTTTCTCAGATCTGTAATATTAAATATTTTTGCAAATCTACTCATGCAGCTTAAGAATCCAAATCTAGTGTTCGTTTGGAATCAGAATTCCAATCAAATAATAGGAACGATCGTCGTTGGACATATATACTGGATAGATTTTCCTTCACATTCACTGAATTTTTTTATTTGTAAATTAATGTGACACAAAACATCAACTATGGTTTAGCATTGCTAAGCTGTAATAGTATGGCTTGTTCAACCAATTGTAAACTAAAATATTGATCTGGCATGATCTATGAATGCGTTCTCACAGTTTATGTATGGGCCAAATTATGATTGGATATTAAAATATAGGCTCATATGCCTTCCCTCTCCATTATCTCTTCTCATTTCAATTAACTTAGATCTGATTTAAACTACACTATTGCCTAAAAATAGTTATATTCCAATAAGGAGTACTATGTGAAGACGATCCAAATTCTCTGAAACAAGGAATTTAGAACACGCTTTTATCATTGAGAAGACACAGAGGTTCACCGACAAATGCGCGCCCGACAAAACGGCAACGTTGAAAGCGCACCGACAAAAGCACACCATTGAAAACAATGCGAAAACAACGGTAACGTTAACAACCCTAACCGTAAAAACCCTAATCGCGCTTTTGTGGGTGCGGTTTTGTCGGCGCGCTTTAGTGGGCATGCTTTCAACATCGCCGTTTTGTCGCGGCAGTTTTGTCGGCGCACATTTGTCGGCCCACGAGACACAGGTACAATCACTAGCATCTCTGATTAAGAGAATGAGGTTGCAGGTGATGGATTTCTTTTGAGAGTAATGTTGGACTGAAAGTCTAGTAAGATAAGTGCTGGAGTTTCTCTACTTGAGCAAATTTAGCTAGAGACAGATTAAATGGTTTTGTATTGTCCCTGATTTTTTCTTTTTTAATGAAAATTAAGGTAATTCCTCATTATACGCAGGCTTCATGACTGATGAAAAACAATCAATATGAAGTACCAGGATATATTCAGAGGAGTTCTGTAGAACTGTAGGACTTGCATAAACTATAATCAATACTATTTGTATCCACATGCAACTGTTTCATACCAATTCTTTTCCTATGTTACTTATACTGTTGTTTCTGTGAAGCAAAACTAACTGCTTGCCAATGCATGAAATTCATTCTGTGACTGAGCCCTAAAAAACAAAGGCATATTTTGATTTACATAATACTTTGGAAGAACTTTTGTTTAACTGACCTGTATTTGCAAGGTGTTTAAAGAGCCCTGCTAGAGCCCTTTGTTTTTGCAGAAGTAAATGTTTCGCTTCGGATTTCTGTTTTTCCTTTTCTGAAGTCAAATTCACAGACATGTTCTGCAATTTGTGGGCAGAAGAAATTACATCACCTGCAAGGAGGAGGAGAAGAATCAATAGCAGCAGCAATCTCTCAAATTACCATATTTTTCAGAGTATAAGACGCAACTCCCTCGCAAAAGAGGGTAGAAATTTGGGTGCATCTTATATTCAGAATGTAGCTTTTTTGGAAGCTTTTTTTCAGCCCTAATGAAGTGCTAACGAGGGCTGAGGAGTGAAGCACCATGGCTTCACTCTTAGCACGTCATTAGGGCTGAAAAAAAGCTTCGAATATTTTTACTACAGCATACTGTTGGAAAAATTTCCTGGTTAGTTCTAGCTGGGAGAAGCCAAAGAGGAAAGATTTGAAGACTGCCTTAAGAGGTACTTCTTTTGTCCAGTTTCTATTTTTGGGAGACAATTGTCTCAAGGGCAAGGCAGAGAGTTCCTGTAACTACGTTGGAAAAATTTCAACTACATTGGAATATTTTTATAGCAGAATACTGTTGGAAAAATTTCCTGGTTACTTCCAGCTGGGAGAAGCCAAGGAGGAAAGATTTAAAGTACTTTCGTCCAGTTTCTATTATTTTGGGGATAATCCCTTTAAGGGCAAGGCAGGAATCGTTTCTATTGCCTGAGTTTTCTCAATGGTTTCCTTCAGGCAAGCTCTGGGCTGGTTTGTTGATTCAGCTTTGTTACATTTTAGGGGGTGTGAATTGCTTTTGGCTGAATGTCCAGACATCTAATTAAGCTTATTAGGATTCCCCCTCCCCCCTGCCTGGGGAAAGAAAAAAAGTGTCATTTTATTATACTATTGTGTTTGCTTGCTTTTCTGGTGCTATGGGAATAAAAATGAATACCTGGTAGGCAGATTTTTTTTTCCTATTTTCCTCCCCAAAACTAAGGTGCATCTTATACTCCGAAAAATACGGTATATATTTTTTTCTTTTTTCTTGTATGCTAGACAGGTTTTCTTTAGGAGAAAAAGCAGTATACAAATATTTTATTTTAATATGGACTGATATTAAAACCACGCTACTTGTGACATGTGCGGTCATTGTTTTAGAGGTATTTCCTTACCTAAAGAAAGAAACATAATAACCAAAGACAAACAAGCAAGAGGAATAGGAGTGATTTCCAACTTCATGACAGCTTGACTGTAGCTAACTATCTTTCAGCAGCCAATGCTGGGACCAGTCCACCTGGCCTCCAGAAGGCTAGGGTGAAACCATTTTCCTGAACCTCCAGACAGCAGTATGCTAGCATGGCAGCACTAAAGCAATTATAAATTTGCCCTATTTCCAGCCGACTGGAGTCATGGGTTCCAGTTTTTGGATGCATTCTGTAACTTAGACAATTTGAGGTACTTTGATTCAAACACTGTTTTCCTATGAAGTACTACTGTTTTGTCCAATCAATTACATACTTTCTTTTAAAGGTAAAGGTTTCCCTTGTACATATGTGCTAGTCGTTCCCGACTCTAGGGGCCGGTACTCATCGCCGTTTCAAAGCCGAAGAGCCAGCGCTGTTCGAAGATGTCTCTGTGGTCATGTGGCCGGGATCACTAAATGCTGAAGGTGCATGGAACACTGTTACCTTCCCACCAAAGGTGGTTCCTATTTTTATACTTGCATTTTTACATGCTTTCGAACTGCTAGTTTGGCAGAAGCTGGGACAAGTGACAGGAGCTTTATTACGTGGCGCTAGGGATTCAAACCGCTGAGCTTTCTGATTGACAAGCTCAGCGTCTTAGCCACTGAGACACTACATACTTTCTTTTACAATAGTTTAAATCCAACATTCAATCCATTTCAAAAACTATTTCTGACTCATTTTTTAAGGGCTGAAGTTTATTTTGCAAATTCACACATTAATTTCTTATGATTCCAGGACAACCTGTAATTAGACTGAGTGGTCCCTTGACATCAGATAAACAATTAAGGATTACATTTTGTGCCTACTAAATATATATCTAAAATATCTTTTTTAACAAGTTATAGCAAATTTACTGTAAAAGCTAGAACCACAGTCAACAATGCAAAAATAATTTTCCAAAACAAATCATAATACAGACAACATTTGGAATGCTTACCAGTGAAATTGTCAAGATTCTCCACCAAGTCCAAGATAGAATTATGCTTCACTAGAGTTGCACATATCTTCTTCATTCGTTTGGTGAGTTTAGGTAAGCGTCCCTGAAGTGATTCTGGATGAAATGGCCACCCCTGGAAGTCTTCTAAATGAAGACCCTGGGAAATATTCACAGTAGGAAAGTCAGCACAATTGAAACTTTTGTGCTACTAGCATATATATGGGTCTTTCAACAGTTACTAGCTTCAAGATGAAAGTTGTTTACCAAGATCAAAACATTACACTAAGATACCTATCCTGATTAGAAAGCCAATGGATTCATTTATACTTATATAAAAAAACAAAGATATTACTGGGTAAAATGAGACATCTACTCCAAACTGCCAGCTGTCGGTTCCTGGAATCTACTCCTTTAAAAAGGACTGGGGCAGTACCCTGAACAGTTTGATTGCTTACTAATGAAACAAATCTTTTCCAAAGAGATCTCCACCATCTCAAGTAAACAAAAAAGGAGATTTCCCTCTAACAGTTTTAACTTGTTTTGAACATGGGAAGGTCAACATAATTATGTGCTATAAATGCTCTAGGAAAATCTCATCTTATACCTGCCACATAAATAATTAACTGGAAATAGTACGTTCTGAAAAGAATCCAATGCACTACATAAAATGTTTAATACTCTATAATATATAGCTTCAGGTACCTGAGTAGCATCTAATTTTACAGTTAGGCGTTTCCTCAATATATTGTTTAGGTTCTGAATATTAGTTTCAACATTCTCTGGTGTTTTTTGATCCTGCAGGGAAATGAGTTCTTCTTCTTTAGGCAGTTCCACCAAGGCTGATTGACAAGGTTCACCAAGAGCAGCTTCAAATTTCTTCATAAATTTAAACAGCGTCCTAGAGCCCATGAAAACCAAAGTTGAGAACTAGGAGAACAGCACTTATCTTTTCAGTGTCTTTCAAAGTGAAAGGCATTGTTTGAAATTTGTATGTAATGTTTGCCCAGAACACTAAGCAAGAACATGGTTTGTTTATTCTCAGCTTAGCACAATATATGAACCCAACTAAACATGGCTTACTGTTATGAATGGCTTTTTGAACAAAAAAATAAAGATTCTGACAGAATTGTGTGAATGCAGCCAATACTGCACACATTAAAGAATCCAATATAATTCAGTTTGAAATGGAAGTTTCTATTATTGGCCTGCAACAATGAGACAGGCAGACTGATTTTATCCTACTGTAATTTTGATGATTTGTTATGCATTGTAACATTGGGCACAATGGTCTATGAGACAATTGCTGAATTTGTCTGTCTGTCTTTTCTTAATACTTTGCGGAGTTGGTTTTAAAGAACAAAGAAATAGGTTGGGAAAAAAAGGAGATCTCAAATGAATGTCCAAAATGGACTTTTTACCAGAATTTCATTTACCTGTGTGTTTTTTCTACAGATTGTTTTACAGCCCAAAAACTGACATCATTCCATCTTGAGATTTTCACAAATTCCTACAGTGGAAAACAAAGCTTCATTTATTATTATGTCTTAATATACGCACTGCAAAGTACTGCAAGTAGTCCTCACTTAGCAACCAAAATTTGGCCCAGCAGCTCAATCATTAAGCATAGCAGTCACTACGTGAAACCACAACTGTGTTGATTATCATACTTCAGTTATCCTTTGCCTCACAGAACTCCAAAAGTCATAAATGTGAGGATTGCAAAGTTACTTTTTCATCATGGAAGTTCACTATGTGAAAACTATCTGTAATGTTGATTTCATGTTTTCATTTTAAAGAAAAATATGATCCTTTTATTGATATCTGATATTCAGGAATTAAGACAACTGTCATCATACTTAAGTATCTCATCCTCACCTTCAGTTCTTTTTCTATGGGATGTCGCTGTTCAATCAGCTTGGCATGGACAGATTCTGAAAATTGCTTATAATAATTATATAGATTCCATAATACATTGCCCAGCATATCTAAAAAGAGAAAAAATATCATTTAGTTTCCTGCTTCTATAATAAAGGCATAAGAATACCACAGCATTATTTAGATTTAGTCCCAAACTAGAAAGAACCCCACTTTCACAAATCAGTTTGGCATCCAATTACCAAAAAGTTGGGGGGGGGGGGGAATCTCATTTACATAACAAGCTTTTAAAAAGATAGTGCTCAATGGGTGAAAATAATCTTACTCTGAAGGACTAACATGGAACAATTTTAAAAGTTGTCTATAAAAAGTCATCTTGCACTGCAACAATTACTTTTAATTATGTTTACCCTAGGCCCATAATGGCGAACCTATGCCACACTAGCTGTCGCCCCAGCCCAGCTACACCACACACGTGTGTGCCTCCCGCCAGTCAACTGTTCTTTGGTTCTCTGCTGTGCATGTGGGAGGGCGCATGTGCCGGGAGCACTTGCATTGCATTTTGTGCCCCCCCCCGGCACCCGGTTTTGGGCCTGGAAAGCCGCCTGCACCAACCTGGAAGCCAAAAATAGGTGAGAATGGGGTGCATGCGCGCGGGGCGCTCGCATTGCATTTTGGGGTTTCGTGGCCGTGCTTTGGGCACTCGGCACCAAAAAGGTTAGCCATCACAGGCCTAGGCATATAAAATATTAGCAGCATTGAATAAAAGGAGGAATAAGCTAAGAGAAAAGAAATGCAATGAATAATTTTATTATATTCTTCAAGTAATACTGCCACTAATAGTTGTCAATTTGTGAATCCAGGAAACAAAAAACAATACTTACTATTTTCATCCTTTTGTGTCATCAACAAGACATGGCAGTGGAATTCTAAGAGCATTTGAAGTCTTGTATGAAATTCCCCCAATGTGGATCCTTCTATGAAACGTTTCAGTGTATCGACCACAGATGCTATATTAACTTCTATCAGTTTCAAGAAGTTGGAATTGTAAGAGATAAATGAGCAGCGGAAAAATAAGAAAAACAAATTATGGAAGCTGTTTAATGTCTATAATTTCCAATAAAGACATACCAACAAACACTACTGCCTCCTATATTTTTTGAGTGCAAATATAACTTATATTATATTCAACTTCAAAACTATGATTGTTTCCCCTACAACCCCTCTCCCTGTAATGTCAAGAGTGGGTAAGAGAATACAAATTCTTATTTAATTCAAAAGAGGCTTGGATGGATTGGGGGGGGGGGGAGGAACAATGATACAATTAAATCACATTATTCACCTCGACATGATTTGAATGAGTTATATTCCGTCCACCGTTGTAGTTATAAATATACAAACACAAACTATGGAATTCTTGTGTTATATTAATTTATCTCATTCATAGAGATGCATCTTCTCCACTGGGTAAAGTTAACTCTACAGGAAAGCCTTCTATTAGCAGCTCATTTCACTACATGAATATTTTATTACCTTCAATTTTCTTCTCTGACTGTTCTTGTTGGTATTTTTCAACCATTTGATAGAGTGAAAACCAGTGCTTCATTGATTTTTCTGTGTACTGTTTCATTACATTGTCCAAACTCGCAGACCAACCACTGAAAACATGAGAGGAGAAAAAAAGGAAAGTTTAATGCTTTATATGAAAGACCAGGTCCACACATGAAAGTTCAAACACATGTGTTTATGCCAAAAGACTATGCACAGGAAACTTTTCAACAATGCTTAATTGGAGGGTCAAAGGGATTTAAGGGGAGGGGAGGGGGGTTGGACTTAGTTCTTAGAGCCGAGGTGGCGCAGTGGTTAAATGCAGCACTGCAGGCTACTTCAGCTGACTGCAGTTCTGCAGTTCAGCTGTTCAAATCTCACCGGCTCAGGGTTGACTCAGCCTTCCATCCTTCCAAGGTGGGTAAAATGAGGACCCGGATTGTTGTTGGGGGCAATATGCTGACTCTGTAAACCGCTCAGAGAGGGCTGAAAGCTCTATGAAGCGGTATATAAGTCTAACTGCTATTGCTTCTGACCATGACCAAATCAAGGAATTTTTAGTAAGTGCCAAATTTCCTGTTGTTTGTTTACAAAGAACAGTGATCCACATGTGGCCCCTGAATTAATTTTGCATTAATTTTGGTTAGGTTCAGGTCACAACCAAAGCAGATTGCGACCAAAGTTATGGACATAATTATGGTTGTAACCAGAGGTTCTACTGTACTGAGTTCTGTTGAAAGTAGTGATTGTTGTAGTTTCCCCTGCCCAGCTT